TTCCTTAGGTACTTCATCTTTGCCTCGATGGGCTCTGTTACAGAAAACCAGCCTTTGTTAAGCTTGAATTTGAAGCCTTAGGAATTGAATTAAGCCTTGGCAGGCTGCCCAGGGCAGTGGGGGAGTCCCCACCCCTGGAGGGGTTTCCAAGCCGTGGAGATGTGGTGTGAGGGACATGGCTCAGTGGGGACCTGGCAGGGATGAGTTATTGGTTGGACTCGATGAGCTTAAAGGTCTTTTCTAACCCAAACGATTCTATAATTTGATCCCCTCTCAGGTGCCCTGACCCAGCCCTACTCTGGCTGTCATCACGCCCAGCTCTCCGTACTCTGCTCCATCCCAGCAATGCACACTCTGCCCTGCTGCTCCCAGAGGTGTTAGAGGTGGACAAGACTCCTTGAGTGTTGCACAAAGTTTGCTGATAAACCCTTGCACCTTGCACAGTGGCAATGCATCAAAAAAAAGGGTGCCTGATGTTGCAATATTAGAAAGTGTTCTGGTGAGGGAGTCAGGCAGTTTGGGAGTGTGGTTGGAGTGTCTGGTGCCCCTCTCCCCATCTCTGGGGCAGCACAGAGGCAGAGACACTGGACAGCAGGAGGTCAGAGCAGGGGTCACCCCAGTGGGTGTGGGTCAGGCTCTGCCACAGGGCAGAGGAGACCAGAGCTTGGAGCCAGAGCTGTGAGCTCTGCAGTGGTGAATCACAAAGAGGGCTCTCCCTTCAGAGCCCAGATGAGCTGATTGCTCTGCCTTGGTGGCTGTTTTTCAGATGCTCGTTCTCAGCCTGAATACAACGAGAGCCATATTATCACAGCACTCAGGATTGAGCAGGTGAGGGGGTTACCCTCTGTGGAAACCAGCCCTGGATTCAGCAGCTGGCAGGAAGCTTGGCTGAAAAAAAACCCCAGGAATTGCCCCAGCTCCTTTCAGCCACGTTCCATTTCTGCCCCCTGGGGGGTGTGTTCTGTCACACAGCAAAAGTGGCTTCAGTAGCCCAAAGTTTGGCCCACAGGAACGGTGTGACAGGAAAAATGCTGCACAAAACCCAGCACCTTGTGGCCTTGCCCCACAAGTGCCAGCATCTGCTGCTGCAGCTGATGGAGCCATCCACCCTGGCTGGCAGCGTTTCTGAGCTCTAACTGGGTCTGACATCAGGACGTAGCCCCAAACCCACCCCGTGGCCAGGGAGCAGTAATCTGCAAGGAGAAAAGAGTGGAGCTGTGTCCCTGACAGAGTTCCTCTGTGGTTTTTGGCAGGGCCCTGCAGGGCAGTACCTGGTGCCAGACCCCGAGGAGCTGCGGTACGCCAGGCACTGTGTGGTGTATGACTGTGAGACCAGCTCCTTGGTGAGCTGTGACAGGGAGGAAGAGGAGGAAGATGAAGGTATGTATGACCCGTGTCAGTGAAGACCTCACTGCTGGGTAGGGATTCTTCCCATTCCTCATTTAATTTTATGAGTTTATTGGAAGAGGTGGGAATTCACCCAGTTTTATGTGAAAAATGAACATCTGCTGTGCCTCTGTTTTATCACTGTTGTGTATCTTCTCAGGCTTCAAAAATCCAGATTTTATCTCAAAAAAACCTGGTTTCCTACCTGTGGAGCAAACCCTCTGAAGTTCCTTGTTGCATGTGAGGGGTGGGTTGGTTCTTCCTTTTCCCCACACTCCACTGAGATTGGGCTTGGGCAACGATTGCCTTGTGGGGCTTGAGACTGAAAACCCTGACTCACCTTCTGGCTGCTCAGAGAGGGAGTTCTTCCTTCAGGGTTACAAGAGGCTCTCACACTGCTGTATTTAAAAAGATTTAGGTTTAATGGGGGTGGTGATTTGATGCAGTTCACCAAGAAACCTGAAGAGCTGGAGGAAACTCTTCCATCTAATGGTTCTGTCTTCCTGGAAGCATGGAGATGTTTGGCTGTCACACATCCCTTGGCACAGAGCTCTGCTGTGTGCAGAACACCTTCTGTACCTTGTTTGGCTTCTGTTTAGCTTCACACACCTGACTCTTTTGCAAAGATTTACATCATTTTTTTTAAGGAGAAAACACTTGGATGCGTAAGGGGAATAAATAAAGCAAGGGGAATAAATAAAGGAAGGGGAATAAATAAAGCAAGGGGAATAAATAAAGCAAGTGTATTCATAAATCCTCAGCAATGGGACAGTAGCAAGGGAAGGTGTGAAGATCCTCCTTCTTTCCCCCTTTGCCTAAAGCAGACTAAAGAAAAAGCCTCCATAAAGCTAAGAGTATTAGATTTAAATGAATAATGCTTCCCTATTATGGGGAATTATTGTAAGCATATTCCAAAGAATAATAGGGATGGGAAAAAAACCCCAACATGTTATCTAGAGCTACAAAACAAACCAGGGAAGGAATAAAAGGCCAGGACAAGAGGTGAAAAGCAGCTTGCCCTGTGGCTGAGCTGCAGCAGAATAACTCCAGCTTTTAACAAGGCTTTCAACAGACTGTTGGTGAAATGAAAGGGAATTTCCCATCGTTGTCCGTGGGGCAGAGGTGACCCCCAGTGCTGAGGGGGGCACATGAAGCCTGCCCTGCCAAATGGCTTTCTGATCCCTGCAGATGCTGAGGAAGGACCTGCTGCCCAACATGCCAGACACTTGGAGCAGTTCACCCGCCACCCTGTGCTCGTCCTGAGGGGAGGGTACAAGCATTTTTCAGCTTGCTATCATTTTCTGAGGACTCAGAAGATATTGTGGATGCCTCAGGTGAGAGAAGACTCATCTGCAAGTAGAAGACATGAATGTTCATGTTCAGCTGATGCCAGCTAGTGAGTTCAAGTGAAATGGTGTTGTAAACCTGCTGTCAGAGTAATTTCAAACAAAGGAACCAAATGTCATTTGGGTGTGACTCTGCTTGCCCTGAGTCTCACCACTAATTCTTTTACAGCCACACGTGGCCTTTCTTTCCTCTTCTGTTTCCTGAAAGGAAGTTCATGAACCTGGGGAGGTTTCTCTGGATAACCCTCAGACCATCCCTCTGGAGAGTACAGATAGCTAAACCAGCAGCAGCAAGTGGTGAGAAGGAGCAGGTTCCTCTCTCACACGTGGCTGTCCAGGAGGGGACTCAGCACGTGTGTTCAGACAGAAGTCCAGTCCCTGTCAAGCACTGTGTTCTGTGTCTGTGAAGCTTTGCATGGGGAAGGATCCCACAGCAAGTCTTGGTGCATTGTTTCCCTGCAACACCAGGGTCTGACCACAAACACTGATCTCTTTAGCTCATGGGTAACAATTCCCCTTTTTCTCTCTGCTCTGGACAGCAGAGAGCATCTCATGGCAACACCTTCTGTTTCCATTGTCCCTGCTCACTTCTGGCTGGACAAACAGCCCGTGCCAGGGTGCTGACCTGGGGGATGCTCCAGCCCAGGGCAGCACATCAGGGCAGGGACCTGCTGAGCTCCTCTGTCCTGTTCAGGGGGGCACAGGGCACCTCCCTGCTGAGCTCCTCTGTCCTGTTCAGGGGGGGCACAGGGCACCTCCCTGCCTGGGCTCAGCTGCTGCTCCCTGCTGCTTTCAACTGTTGGGTTGCTGCTTTGTTCTGAGCCAGGGGGCTGGGAGGGAGGCAGGGGCATGGCTGTGTGGGTCTGTTGTTGACCTTCACGCTGCAGAGGCCAAGAGCTGTGGGCTGGGGGGTACCTGCAGCCCTGCAGCTGGCAGCTGATGTCATTTACCTGCCAGCAGGGAGAGCCTCAGGTGGGTCAGGTTCCCTCCTGCCAGCGTGAGGAACAGATGCCACCTCCTGTTTACTTGGGATGGGTTTCAAGAGATGCCACAGAGGCAGCAAGGCTGTTAATTATTCTCAGTAAATCTAGCAGAGACTTCAATTTAGAGGAAGTCTGGGTGGTGGAATGAATCATTACACTACAATGTGTCATGGGCTGTTGACTAAGTGTGTGTTCATTTCTTCACATGACTTCTGTCTGAGAATGGACCAGGCTGCTGGGAGCAAATACACTCTCTAAACTGAGCCCTGGGCTTCTCTCTGGCAGGAACTGGACAACTTCCAGCCATACCCTGTAGAAATACTGCCTTTAAAGTTGTATATGGGCGATTTCAAGCAGGCCTCTGACCAACAGATTCAGAAAGATCTGAAGATCAAAGCACTAGTCAACATCTCTGAAGAACCTGCAACGCTGTAAGTTAAACAGTCCAAGGTGAACCCTCACCAGTGGCTGTGCCAGGGGTGAGCTGGCACAGCACCAGAGCCCACTCCCCAGGGAGTCACTGCCTGTGAGCTTCCAGGGAAGCCTCTCTGCTCCCCTGCAGGCTCTTTCCTGCTCATTTTCCTGATGTCTCCTCCAGAGTCAGCACAGCAGCCGTGCTGCAGCCCTCAGCCAAGACAAGGGGCTGCACTGGGGGAGGGGAGGGCTGGGAGGCCCTTGGCATTGAGTCTATAGCATACCACCATCCTTTGGGAAGATCTGAAATCTCTGGATAGCTTTCAGAGCAAAACCTTGCCAAGACATCAGTGTACAAGCTAAATCACCAGTGTCCCACGTGGCTGGTCTGTCCTCCTTCCCTCCAGCTGGCTGTGACCATAGCTCAGGCTGTGGGCAGGCTGGAAATGCCCTTTCCCACAGGGAGAAACCCAGTGCTGATGGTGCTGACAACACAATGTCCTTACAAACCCAGCCACCTACCCCAATGTGTGTACCAGCAGGCAGTTCTCATGCCTCTGGCTCCAGAGGAAAACATGGAAGGCCTGTGTGCCATGAGGAATATTCCCATACCCTCTGCATGATGTGTTTTCACACTGCAGAAATTCCTCACCCATGTTCTGCTCTGTTAGTTCTCTGAGCTGAGTGCTCTGAGCTCCTGGGAGGAGGAGGGTCCTGTCATGGGGTGACACCTGAAGTGACCTGGGGGGCTGTGTGCCCAGGACCCTGCATGCTGTGGGGGCACTCTTGCCTTCACTCCATGTTTCCATTCAGAGGAAGGAAGCTGTGGGCTGGGTTGAGCCATCAGTGCTGATACCACGTGGGATGGAGAATCAGTAATTAAACCTGTTCTGTATTACGAGCACCTCAGTGTCCTACCATAACAAACTCCTCATCATAATGTTAATGATGATGATGATGATGAAAGCTTGCCTCCAACAAAGCCATTTTTTCAAAGCTGCTGCTCTGACCTGTGTCACACCCTGTGCTCTGTTCCCAGGTTTGCAGAAGAAGGCAAATACCTCCATATACCTGTTCCAGATTCCCTCGAGGCAGATCTTTTTTCTTCCTTTGCCACCATTTGTCATTTCATAGGTGAGTTGTCCCTGATGTGGAGGTCCTGAGCCCTTGCTCACTGTAGGATGTTAGATGGGAGTGACTGCAGTCACTCCTGCAGGAGGCTCAGAGAGGAGGGTCCTAATCTTTGGAGATCAGTGTACTCCCAAGCAAGCCCACACCCTAACAGGCAGCAGAGCTGCCTTACTAACCAGCCTGGGGGACAGAGAGGAGACTTGACAGGGCACCTGGCTCTGATTCACTCTCTGAAGGTGGGTTCCTACTCATTTGAAAGGATACCTCACTCTCTGATAGTAGTGAGCTATCCTCCCCATCCAAAAGGGCTTCACAGGATTCCCTCCTAGTCCTTTGTTCTGACTGTGGCCTTCCAGCATCTGAAGGGGGCCTACAAGGAAGCTGGGGAGGGACTTTTTACAAGGGCTTGTAGTGGTAGGATGAGGGGTGATGGCTTCAAACTGGAAGAGGGGAGATTTAGATTAGAAATTAAGAAGTTTTTTGTTATGAGGATGGAGAGACCCTGGCCCAGGTTGCCCAGGGAAGCTGTGGATGCTCCATCAGTTGATGTGTTCAAGGTCAGGTTGGATGGGGCTTTGCACAACCTGCTCTGCTGGGAGGTGTCCCTGCCCAGGGCAGGGGGTTGGGACTGGATGATCTTTAAGGTCCCTTCCAACCCAAACCATTCTGTGATTCTGTGATTTTATGAAATACAACCCTTTGACTCTTACCAGCCCAAATCTTCAACCACCAGAGCTTTATCTGGCCAAGAGTTTGTCACACATTAGAGAATTTACCCCAATGTTCTGCTTATCCTTGTGATTTGCAGTGCAGAGCCATGGCAGGGCCCAGGAAGCCTTTCAGGTTGGACAGCACAAACTTGCCTTCAACTGATTGCATCAGAGAGGGCAAGAAGAAAACATCCTGTGCAGCTCAGTGCCTGGAGCAGCAGAGCAGCCATAGCTCCCTCCTGGGCTGGTGTCCAACCACATCTTATCTTCCATCCCAATTAGGAGATGAGACCTGCCCCAGCCCTGGCCCTGCTGAGCTCAGTGTGGTACAGACCCAGAACCCAGAGACCACCCTGTCCCCACAGACCTTATGAGCCACGTACAATATGAAAAATAACAACTGCACACAAACAAAGGGTCAAGGAAATAACACTGAGGATGTATTTTTGGGGTCCTGAACTCAGTTTCATGATTTGCACCCACTGAAACCCAAATGTTGAAATCCACTTACTTGCCTTTCATTTTGAGGCAGGATTTTCAGAAGAAAGTTTGTCTCTTCAGTTTGTGGAAGTTTGCAGAACAGATTGGAAGAGTTTGTTAGTTGTTTATGAGCTCCTGTGGATGTGTATACTGTTTGTTTAATAGTTGAGCTGTTTCCTTGGCAACGTAGAGTCGATGAGATAAACTGGAGTGGTTGTGGCTGAGGGTGAGCTCTGAAGATCTCCCCATACTCTGAGAGATGTGGGGGTACCCTCATGCCAGGTCTGTGCTGGAGTGAGGCCATTTCTACTCAGGTCTCAGAACAGCACGAGTATCTTATAGAAATAAGTCAGAAAATGCTAATTTAGAGCTTGAAAAAAACATTCAAACCCCTACAGCCTCTTGACAACAGTAAAAGAAGAGGCTCTGCCCCCTGAATTCTACAGCTCAGTTGCTGCTGCTCTAAAAACATGTCACACTGGCTGCTCTGGAGAGGGGGGGAAAGAATTCCAGAGGTTATTAACAAAATGCCAGTGGCTCAATGTCTGGATGGGGCTGGGTGACAAGGGGGGTCCATGCTGGGGCCAGTGCTGTTTAATACCTTAATCAGTGCTCTAGACAGTGGGACCATGTGCACCCTCAGCAAGGCTGGAGG